CGCCGCTTGCGAAGTTCGTTCTTCGGGTTTCGAGCTCTGCGCCGGGGCGAAGACCTTATATCTCTCCTGGTAATTGGTTAATTTTTGTGAATTTAGTCTAAAAGAGAGTTAGGGTTTAGCCCAGTTTGAGTATCCTTAGACTCTTGCCAACGATGAACGTTTGAATTGTGGATGTACTCCGATTTTTCCGGAGTCAGAATTTTTGGGCATGGTTGACTGCAAGATTAGATGGGTTCTACAAATCTTTAAAAGTAATTGAATTTGTTGTTCATTACTGCAATTAGATGTGGAATGATAAATGGAAAGTGTATGTGGAAGGTTAGGAACCCTAATGCACTTAATGGATATATCATGCGCATATGGATTTTGACATTAAAACTGAAGAAAATGAAGAAGCATTAATGAGCCAACAGTTTGCAGTTTGCCTAATATGATGGGGGAGATTCTAGGATAATGGTGAAAAAATGATTAGTCCATCAAGGAATGAGCTGGAACTGGGCTTTTGGCTAATATTCAATAACTTTGGTTGAGATGTAAAGGATGGACTATTTGAAATGCTTGTGTAATTGCCTGCAATTTATGTTATATTGCAAAAATTGATACCTTGAAGATTAGTACTTGACATAATTTCCTTGACATAACATCCACGATGCAAGTCTTGGCTTATGCAGTGTTATGGTTTGGAAACTAATTAATATATGGCGAGATCTCAGCTGCTCCTTTGGAATTGGTTATTCCTTGGGGTATTCTTATTGGAATGTTGGGACTAATATATAATTGAGACTCATCTTGTTAAACCACCAATACCACCCTAATGACCAATGCTATAAACTTGAAACTCAAGCCTGAGTCAATGAAACATGTGATGATGGTATAGTTAAGATTGACGTCAAAATGTTCTTCGACGTTATATGTATAGTGATATTAATTCTGAAACCTATGTGTCTTTATATTTTTTTACATTAAAGGTTATATGTGATTGAATTTCATTTGCATTGAAATAGTAGATGAGATTCTATAGCTATTTCTATCTACTTGTCTACAACTTCGGACAATAATTGACCAGGTTTTATCCCACAGTTCATGAGAGGCTGCTTCGCAACAGTGAAGATTTTGTCTGGCCAATTGATTGCACATTCCATGGGCGTTTTGTCATCGATGTAGAATTCTTGGACCTGAAAGTATCCCCAATTAATGTAAGAATTTATTGATGTTGCAGGTCTTTGACATATCCTTGTTTTGTATTCTGCAGGCTGTTATTATGAATGCTTTTATTAGAATACTGATGTATGAATGTGTGATTCCCTGGGTTTTGATCCCAGAGGGAGAGGGAAATATGTTTCGTATCATATAGATGCGGAAGTGTTTTTAAAGGTGCTCTCGGGTGCTCGCCTCGGGCGCAAGACGCAGTGGCGCAGTGGCGTAGTGCCCAGCATAAGGTGCGGGGCGCTACGCTTGCACCCAGCGCCCACCCGAGAGCAC